CATGATTATCGAATGTAAATAGTTTTATCTCTAAAAACAGTTTAGCCTATAAAGCTAGTATAACGCTAGTATATTGGGCATAGAGTAATGACAAATAAAAATCGCTTGTTAATACCACTAACAAGGCTCAAAATAGCCCCACACTAGCACGGTAGCATAATGAGGGTCCCTACCTTCAAACCGAAGCATTGAGAACTTTGTCAGTGTCCAGACAGTTTAATAAGAAGATATTTTATACATACAGTCAACTTCGCGTATACAGGCAGAAGCCATCTTTGAAAAACAGTCTCTACCAGTCGATATACGAACGATCCAAGTGCGCTGGTGAGATGTGAACGAGCTATAAGTTGTGATAAGGTGAGCGCGAACAAATATGCATGCAGACAAAACATACCGTTTCTAAACTTTAGCCCTATGAGAGGTGTGTTACTGGGAAAAGGTACACCGAGGACAAATTGGATTTTTTTTCTCCGTTTTTTTTACTAATGATAATTCCACTTGGGTAATGTAATGAATCACTGCACATACACAAAAGACACACATACATTGACATGCAATAATGCTAGTGTGAGTAAATGCCCTTCCTTAGTCCACTGTAAAGGAATGTCTTCTCCTCAGGGCTGCTGATGGGTCAGCTAGATTACAGCTCCTCTGACCTACAACAACCTGCTTGTCTAGACAGTTTTGGGTTGGAGCAGATTCCCCTCTTCTTAGCACCACTGTGGTGACTGGGTTTGTATGAGGTAAAGCCTTCAGAGCGTCACTTTGAGTCACACAATACCTGCATTGACGCTCTGACTTGTCTGTCTCTGCTAATCTTTCTCTCTCAATCTAGTCTTAACCTTACTGTCTTTCTGAGGCCATATTCTCTCTGTTAGTCTATTCTTTTGTTCTCTGGTGTCATCTTTCTTTTACCCACTAAAAACATTTCTTTGTCTTTCATACTATTAGTCTTGTCCAATATCCTGCCCTTGTTTTTGAATCACCCCCGCTCACTTTCCACTCTAATGGTAAGTAGTTTACGTAAGATGGTTTTCAGGATGCTGAACTAAATAGTACACTCAAGGATACTACCTTGACATTCTTTCTTTCTTTTTTTTATTATAGTTTTGAATGACTCTAAATCTTTGTTCAGCAAATCTGAGATATACCAGTTATGGAAGATCGGACACTTGGTTAACCCTTAAACAGGCAAGAGTGGAAAATGCTAAGCAAAAAATTATTTAATTTCATTTTTTATATCATCTGGACTTAAATAAAACATATCCAAAAATTTTTTTTTTAAATTTGATATATTTTGGATTTTATGAGTTGTGTCTCCTGAGATACGTTGCCTGATTAGGGTATAAAAAAAGGACCAAGTCATTAATCTGTTAACTGTTACTGCCACTGTATGATTAAAACAATTATATCCCATACTTTACCTGATCTAATGTTGACAAATTATATATCATTCGAAAGCTTACGAACTCAAGATTCAGCCTGTGAAACACGTTTTGAAATTGGACGTTGTGTTACCATAGAAACGGTATTCTAAATTCTTTTAATGGGCTCCTCCCCTTTTGGGCATCGTAATGTTTCATAATTTATGATCAAAACCTTTTCTAATCTTGACAAAACACATATTGTCAGAAAGGTCTGAGTCTCAAGCATGGGCGTCAGTTTGGTTTGAAATGTGGTGGGGACAGAGCTATATTCCAAAGCATTCTTGAATTACAATCATTTAAGTTTGAATAGTGCATTTTAAATAGAACTAGTTTAGTACCTTTTGTATTCCCTAAACAAGCAACGTGTCTCAGGAGACACATACATTTCAAAACGTGCTAAATAACAACATGAACAACATATTACTTAATTTTCTCCTTCAGCACCTTAAGACAATGTTCACAATTAATGTTAGCAGTATTCTTTTTTTTTTTCAGAAGAAAAGTAAGTTTAATATATATTTACTTATCTCAAAATCTGAACGTTCTGCACCACTGGCAGCCATGTTGGATTTAGGTCAGGCTGACTAATTGATCACAAAAAATTTGAAGCAAATCATGTGACCACCATACTCAAGACAGACCAGGCTGTCATAAGTGATAAAAGAACTTGATGAAAAAATCGTTCTTATGCCCCAAAAAAAGACAATAAAAACGATGTATCTCGTGAGACATGTTGCTTGTTTAATAATTAGTGGTGCATGCACTGGAAAACACACTCAGAACACTTTAGCATGGGCAAGCACCACTTACTTTTTCTACAGAAAACTTAAATTAAATCGCAGTGCAATTTCTGTTCCACTTGCAGCGCCAAATGGAATTGCAAATAAAATGTTTGTTTACAAAACACTTCCTCCATCTGCTGTAGTTTGGAAAAATAGGTAACCTTGCCCTCAAAGCCATTGGTTGAGTCAATGTTGCCATGTTGGGCTCCTTAAACAATCAGAGCAATGTTGAACACATAGGGCATTATTTTAACGATCTATTAAGCGCATGGTCTGAAGCGCACGGAGCAAGTGCACTTAGGGCGTGTCCGAATCCACTTTTGCTAGTTTAACGACGGGAAAAACGGTCGGCGCTTCTGACGCATGGTCTAAAAGGGTTGTCCCTATTCTCTTAATGAGTAATGGGTGTGTTTTGGGCATAATGTGCAATAAACCAATCAGAGTCTCATCTCCAATTCCCTTTAAAAGCCAGTCGCGCTCGCGCCAGGGCGGATTCGCTATTTACATGGCGGAATTTGCAATGCTTCTCTGACGAGGAAACGGATCTGCTTGTGCGCGAGATTAAAGCGCGTGAGCAGACCATCTACGTGACAAAGTGTATGCGCGTTGTGGACCCACCTATAGGCGCACATTACTAACACGCTCTTTAAATAACAAAAAAAATATTGCGCCATTGACTTTAGACCAGGTTTCAGTTGGTCAATGGCGCAGTCTATTTCAGTTGCCTCAAAATAGCAACGCAACAATGTGCCTGAACACACCTTGTTTTCAGACCACCACGCCCATTGGTGCACAAATGGGCGCAAATGCATTTGCTATTTAAACAACGTGGAGCAGGACGTGAAAACTATAAAATGCGCCGGGCTGAAACTAGCAAAAAACATTTGCATTGCGCCAGGTGTATGATAGGGCCCATAGTGTTTAAACGTTTTGAGAAAATAAATACAGTTGTCTTTCTGCACAATCGGCAATGATGATTTAACAGCAAAACTTTGCATACAGCAGCTTAATTAAGACATTTTGGGTGAACATTCAACTTTATGCAGACAGGGATCGAGAAAGTGCAGGGTTGAGAACCACTGGATAACACTGACCTGAAGCCTATCATAAAATCAAAAGAAGCCACTCGTCTGGCTAGTCGTTTTAAGACAGCTATGCACCTGTTCTGTGGTCAATGGCATGTCACAGAGCGTGAAGTGAATTACATATGAAAATCATGTCCACAGTCCCAATTTAGAGCTAAAACATTTAATAAAGGTTAGAAGTTAAGACCACATTCTTGCAGAGAGTCTATATGTTACCAAGAGAGAGATAGAAGGTCAAGATGAAAGACTTAGAAGAAGAAAAGGAGAAAGAGAAAGAGAAAAGAGGAGAGAGATGAGTAGAAGCAGAACCACATTCAGGAACATTTTCAGCTAGACTGAAGTTAAATAGCCATAATTATCTACAATCACAGTGAGTTAAATATATATGCGGATACAGGGCTGCTCAGAGGTATCCCTTATAAACACTTAGATAAGCCACAAATATGCTATATTCTCAATCCACACACATCACAGGCACACACGCATATGTCTGTACTCACTCACACTGCCCTTATCATGCATTCATAAACTGTAACAAACACACACTCAAAACCAACAATGATCTGTGGTTAATACAACGCAAAAGCTGTCAGATTCTTCTTATACTCCACCTCCACTTCACAAATGGAAACAGGCAGAGAGCAGAACGTGCCCTCTTAACAAAATTTACTATTGTTCTATATCAAAAGAGAGGAGTGAGGCCCCAAAATAACCCTTGAAAAGCCCATTACCATCACTGTAAGCATCAGCAGGAAATATTTTGTCATTTTAACACAAATCCACTGAATAACAAATAAAAAATGATTACATGAGTCTTGAATGAATGTTAGAATCATATGTTGATATGGAATATTGTTACTTTAAAAGCATTATTATTCTGATAAGGAGATAAGAATTAAAAAAAAAATCTATGAGAGGTGATACCACTAATCATGTTCTGTGAGAACACCATTGACAGTTTTGAGAAAACCAGAGATTAATACTTTGAAAAACTAAATGGTAACAGTATAAAAATAAAATAAAATAAATAATAATTTATTACATTTATATAGCGCTTTTCTAGGCACTCAAAGCGCTTCACATGGAAGGGGGAATCTCCTCAACCACCACCAATGTGCAGCATCCACTTGGATGATGCGACGGCAGCCATATTGCGCCAGAACGCTCACCACACACCAGCTTACTGGTGGAGAGGAGACAGAGTGATGAAGCCAATCAGTGTATATATATATGGGGATGATTAGGAGGCCATGATGGACAGAGGCCACTGGGCAAAACTGGCCAGGATGCCGGGGTTACACCCCTACTCTTTCGAAAGACATACTGGGATTTTTAATGACCACAGAGAGTCAGGACCTCGGTTTAACGTCTCATCCGAAGGACGGTGCTCTTTGATAGTATAGTGTCCCCGTCACTATACTGGGGCGTTAGGACCCACACAGACCACAGGGTGAGCACCCCCTGCTGGCCTCACTAACACCTCTTCCAGCAGCAACCTGGTTTTCTCAGAAGGTCTCCCATCCAGGTACTAACCAGGCTCAGCCCTGCTTAGCTTCAGTGGGCAACCAGTCTTGGGCTACAGGGTGATATGGCTGCTGGCATATCACCCTGATATGCCATGGAAAGGCAAACAGTATGGAAAGGCAAACATGAATTGGGCTTCAGTAATGGAGCAAATAAAGTTTAGTAGTGTACAGTGTTTTTACCTTTGCTGTCCTTCCTGCTGCTCTGATGAACTCTCAATTCATCCGATTTGATGAAATCAATCCTGGCATATGTGTTGATGCTGGAGGTGGTGTTTCCTCCTGCTCCACCCAATCCCCCAGTCAACCCTCCAACTACAGGAGAGAAAAATGAGTGAGGACCAGAAGGTCCATCCACACTGGTTTGATTCTCCTTACTGACTAAGTCTAAATCAATGTAGTTCAGGCCTTGCTCCAGGTTTAAGGAAGATGCCTGAGCAGCAGGAAGAGTTGCCACTCCAGGGCTGGCACACTGTGGAGAGGGTGGCTGATTATTAGACCAAAGGTTGTTCTCTAATCCTTGCTGTCGTGGTGGACCACAATGTGGTGTTTCAGGAAAAGGAGAAGGGGAAGCAGAGGGGGAGAGGTTGAGAGTTGGAGGTGCTATGAATGTCTCAGAGCGATGCCGCCTTCTTGCTGATGATTCCGCCCTCACTAGATGGGCACCCTGGTCCACATTTGAAAAAGCTTTGGGTGAAGGATAATTCATGTTATGCTCCTGCTCCATGGAGGATGGTAGAGGTGTTTGGCCAGGTTTAGGGGACATGGATGTTTTATCTCCATCCAATCCAAATTTCATCTCAGTATAGTCTGTAAAAGGAGCAGCAGTGACATCTGTAGATGTCAAGCTTGTCATGCTGCTCTTCCTGAGTCCCATTTCCACTTCTTGTTTTACATGAGAAGCTCTGTTGATCTCCTCTCTGACCTTTGGAGCAGGTTTAAAAGAAGAGAGAGGAGTGAGAGAAGGTGAGTTACCTAAGTCCATGTTCACATATTCAGAGGATAAAGAGATAGAGGTGGAGAGGGGTGCTGAGAAGCTCCGGGGAAGGTTGGCAGATCCACCTTGACATGGCTGTGGTCGGTGAAAGGCTCTTTGTTGTCTTTGTGCCATGGAGTTCCCTGGCTCAGCTGTAGTCCTCCCCTTGTTATGTCCTCTTCGCTCACTCTGATAAATAATGCTCACATACTCTCCAGGGCTCAAGGATGCAGTTGGGAGCAAAGTCTCCTTGACTCTCGGCAACGTATTGGCTTTGGACATATCCACAAAAAAGTTGGACAACTTGTCCTTTCTTGGCTGTAAATGACCCTGTTTCTGAAAACCTGGCCCACATTTCTGCTGGTGATGGTGTTGGGCTGAAACTTTGGGGTGAGCTCCCCCTACCCTGTGTCCTGTGGTCAGTCTGGCTGCTCTTCCCACTCCACCAACAGACAGAGACAACGACCTGTCTTCAAGGCTTTCACTGCTAGCTGAACTAGAGGAGAAAGAGGATGAGGACAGAGAGAGTTGTCCACCACCACCTGAGCCCACAGGTGTGTCCCCTCCACAATGGTAACCAACCTTTCCTCCAGCTTCACCTCTACCCATACAAACCCTATCCAGATCATCTTCAAAACGGGTTGAGAGGGCAGTGTGTTTATATGAACGTGGCAGCGAAAAATAAGAATAGACCATCTTTGGCTGCTGTGGTTGCTGCTCTGGGTGTGATGGAGGAGTACTGCAAGCTGACCTGGCACTAATAGGTGACATGTTCATGTAGTCGCTGCCTGCCCGACTCTCCATGCTGCCCCTGCTGCCCCAAATGCATCCACTCAGGCCATGCAAGTCTGGTGAACAGCTACTGTTAGGAGACATCATCATGTAGCCCTCATTAATGGGTAGGCGGATTTGCTGAGGGGGTGAGACACTACTATTAGGAGTCATGGCCATGTATTCATCTCCACCCTTTGGCACTACATCTGAACCAGAAACTGATAGTGACAATGAAGCAGGAGGAGCTGTAACACCTGGCAACATGGACATGTAGCCACTCTCAATTGAGGAGTCTTCAGGCCCCCCTTTAGTACTGACACCTTTGTCTGCTGAGTTTTCCTGCACCAATGATGTTGTAGCTGAACCCCCTGAGCCTCGGCGTGAAATGAAAGACTCTCTACTTGCACTGCGTGACATCACTGCATAGTCTTCTTCATCCTCTTCTTCCTCCTCCCTGCGGTGTGGGACCAAACGCTCCTGGGTAGAGGTGGGGGGTAAGGAAGCACGCTTGCTGAGCAGCCTGCGGTCAGCCTCACACTCGCGACTAGATGAACGACGAAGAACCTTGCGTCCATGAACACGTTTGTGAGACCCTTCTCTGTGACCCATCAGGATATAACTGGCTCTACCTTCAACAAGGGCACCAGGGAGCCCTGAGGCAAGCAGGGAGTGCTCTCCGGGGCTGGAGCCATACTCATCTGAGGAACCATAATCACTAGGTGATCCTGACATGGACACTCTCTGAGGAATTCGAGCATAAGTGCAGATGGGCACTGTTCCAAAGGCAGCTCCACCTAACCCACATTCTGACCCATGACCAGAACTGGATGAGAGGCTGGGGGCTGGGGAAGGTGCAGGGTTTGGGGTGTATCGTGCTAGGCTGAGGGTGATCTTCGCTGGAGTGGGTGCTCGTGTGGGTTTAGGCCTCAGGGTTGGGGTAGTTGAGCAGGATGAACCATTGAGACTCGGACTTGTGCTGAGTGCCGTTGCTCTGCCCCCTCCATCCTCTGTACGAGCCCCAATGCTGGCTGTCCGTGACCTAGAGAATCCGTGCCGTGGAGTTGGAGACGTGTTGGTGTTCGAGACTCCAGGGGTTTCCGTTCTAGCACGTCTGGAAAAACCAACCTGGGAAGGTGGTAGATTTGGGTGGTGTCGTCTAGAAGGTACACTGATAGGGTTAGAGGCAGTTCCTCCTCCACAGCTCACACCAACAGTTTGGGATTTGCTTCTTTGACGAAACTCTTCACTCAGAGCCTTCATGGCCTCAAGAAGGGTCTCATGCATGTTCTGTGCCACCACTGAATCCTCTACTTGCATCCAGAATTCTCCAGGGCCTGTCATGGCAGAACGACCCACTTCAATGAAAAAGAAGTTCTCTGAGTGGCCACAGCGTCGAACATTCATCAGCTGGAGGACCACAGCTGCAACATCAGAGTTGAGTTTGACAAAGTTGACTGTTTTGTCCGTTAAGCAAAGTCTGTAGATTCCAACTAGATTCCTGGCCTGGCCCAAACCTTTTGGCCAGACTTTAACTTGCCAGACCTCCTTAAAGGCAGGACCAGGGGAAGGCAGTTCACAGTCTCCTCCACTGCCACACTCATCAGGAGTCTTACCTACAGATACAAAATAAAAAGATAGAAACACAATATAAAAATGTAATAAACATGCATATATTTAAATAAATTGTAAAGTATGTAGTACTCTGCTGATTGTGTCAATAGAGACATTTAAATATCAGATCATTTCCAATCAGAATTGTCACAAAAAAAATGTAGCCTATGTCCAAAAATGTCCACAGCACACTATTAGTCAAAGGAAGTTTTGTGTTATTAAGCCACACTAATATAAATAAAAAAGTCACTTGTTGGTCACATCATTAAAGTTGAGTAGAATTGTATTAGTGAAAAAAAAATATTGTTTAGAATTAAAGTCGTGAAAAATACTATATTTCACTATATTTTCAATATATGTAGAGCAAAATGTTAAGATGATGTTGCTCCTCTAACCCAATGTTATCTTCTTAAAAGAATGGCATGAAATCATGTCATTTTATTATGTAATTCACAAATTACTCTCTAATAATTCTCTCTCTCTCTCTCTCTCTGTGTGTGTGTGTGTGTGTGTGTGTGTGTGTGTGTGTGTGTGTGTGTGTGTGTGTGTGTGTGTGTGTGTGTGTGTGTGTGTGTGTGTGTGTGTGTGTGTGTGTGTGTGTGTGTGTGTGTGTGTGTGTGTGTGTCAATAGAGGTAAACTTTTTTTTTATTTCTCTAAATTATTTTATAAGATTTAAGTTGTGGAGTGGATGAAAAATTGTCCTTACCTCTACACGTTTTGAGAGGGTCATAGGGTCAAAATGTTGTTACATTTTTGTGACAGCTTTTAGTTAAGAAGAGAAAGTAGCACTGTGCCGATCAAACCAACCAGCCCAAGTCAGAACAAATTTTGACTGGTTAGGTTAGTGTATAAACGGTTGCATAATATATTAGTGTATAATATAAAACTGATTTGGCTGCTGTTTGCATGCCATTTATCTGACCAATGTTGCACATTTCTAAAAAATGGAGAAATCTCCGTGCAGTTGCTGGATACAAACACTACAGCCAAGTGAATCCATTATAGCCTTTACGGACGCAAATTAAACCGAGGAAGGCTTATAGAATCGCTTGCTCGGCAACGAATGTCTCCATATCATCACACTCGCTGATGGCCTGCTGTTCAACTCGGTGATCGGTTCATTCAGTGGCGGGGTGGCGGGGTCATGTTCTACCAAAACACGAGGGATAGGGCAAGAGGAGACCCGTATTCCAATAAACACGCACGGCTGCCGCGGCTCCCCTCCCCGACAGAATCGCTATGACAGAAATGTAGGTTACACGTACAACATGCACAAATGTGTAGAAAAACAAAAACAGTCCTGACTCCTGAGCGCTGCAGCAGCGCTGCACCACTCTCTCACAACGCGCTGTATAGGCTACGGTAGTTGTGTCTAGTGATGAGAGCATTCAAATAGTAGCTACATCTCGATTTTCTCTAAACAATTCAATTAAAATTAAATGATGAATTTGTCTATTCATGGATGCATTGTATGGTTCACAAAGCATGCACCGTATTCAATCTGGCCATTTTAATACCGCTTGCGTCCACATTTCCAGGTGTGGTGGGTACAATAAACAGACGGGTGGGGTAGAACGTGCATTTGAATCCAAACGGCTTTGCAAATATAGATCCTCTGAAGCCAAGGGGGCTCCCATCATCAACACGCAAGTTGATGGGCAGGTTAAGAAACTACAACCACCAAGGCATGATGCTGCATATATGCGAAAGACAGGTCATTCACGAATTCGACTCAAGGGTACAACATAATTTCTGACTCACATTTACACTGTAGATCCAGCATGGCCTGGTACCATTCGTTTTGGACCTCCTCAGTGTCCGCGGCTATGGCAAAGCTCTCCCCGCGGGTATACAGCACTATCATGTGCTTGTTCTTTGAATCTGCCCGTTTGTTGATGTTGAAGCAAGAGTCTATGTTCACTGCTTTCTTTGGGACTGGTGATTTGCTTCGGAATTTCTTTTCGTTTTCATAATATTCTAGTCTGGCCGGGCCCTGCTCCGATGCAGCCCGGAGAACGAAAAAGCGCCGGTGCATAGATTTCTGCTTGCGGAGATAACCGCTTTTCCGTACGTCCTCGTAGCTCTGCTGCTCCATCGCCAGCTGGTTCTCCATTGCTGGCCGAGTTGCTTGGGGGTTTTTTATCCACCAATGCCTGCCTAAAATCTGTGGTATGTTTTACATTCGTTCATGATAGCAGCAGATCCTCTTCTCTCTCATCATGCAATCATGAGCCCTCGAGGAGAGCCCAAATACGCGCTTGAGATTGTTTTCCTCCTGGTCCAGCTTGTATGGTTGTGTGCACCCAGGCTCCACTGACAGGCGTGCACATGCGGCATGCGACGTCTGCACTAGCATGCGGTTCTGCTATGTATCATTGCAAGCGTACCAAAATTGTTTACTGTACAGCCCTACCTCGGATGCCACCCTCTGCCTGCACGTCTATGAGACTGGTAAACCCGTTAATGCCAGTACATGTAGGCTACACAGAGCAGAACTGAGACTGCACTGATTTCAGTCTTCAGTCTGCTATGGATTCGTTAAAAGATACAAACATCCTCAAGGTTTAATGAACACATTTCTTGTGCGGCTGTGCCAGGTTTTCTATTACACATTAAGGGTGCTTAACTGCCAGTCTGGATATGGCAATTTAGAGGGAATGCATGTCGGAATTATTTTTTAGAATAATGTTTAAAAGGAAAATATACACATGATTCTAATTTTCACGTAGTATTGCATTTTTTAATTATTAAATGCGGAATCCCCCTCTCCACTGTCATTGGCAAGTCTCTTGCGCTAGTGCATCATTCATGGTGAGGCGTTTGCGACACCTGTTGGTTGCCTTTTGCAATGTTTTTGTGTCAGTGCAAATAAGGCGAAACTCATTTGACAGTTTTCACCCGAATCAAGACAAGATATTAATGCTGATGCAAAATTTATTTCTGCAGTTTGCTGAACTGCATATAAACGTTATAGGCCTATATACAACAGAAACATGAAACAGATCATATTTCAGCCAAAAACGATCAATTTAGTAAGAGAGGGATATAGTTCAGGGACTTAGTCTTAAACTGTAATAAAATAATGAGATCTCAAGATTTTCTTAACTAACACGTTAACGTGTAAGAAAACAAAATGAATATATGTAGGCTAATTATGGAAGCAAATAAGAGACATAACTATTTGAAATTTAACAGCCACTGAATACTTAGTTTTGAAATATTTTATTTTGAAAAACATTTATCTGAATTTATTTGCTCTGAATTCACCCCTTTGAAATTATTTGACTTTGGAAATCTATCTGAATTTATTTGTTTCGAATTTACCTCTGGCATTTATAGGCCTATGAAAATTCTTGATTTCCATTTTAAAACCTGAATTTCGATTAATATTTTTCAATGCTCACAAATTCAGATACAAAAAAATATCAACTTACAGAATTTCAGATAAAATAGATTCAGGTTGATCAAATTTGATTGCTCAAATTTAGATCTCAAATTCGACTGCTCAAATTCAGATCGAAAAATTCAAGTTAAATATTCACATGGTAACATCCGGGCTACCCAGGATAGGAAAAACAGCTGAGCCTGTGTAGAGCCATATAGAGATGTGGCTCTGAGCCTGTGTAGAGACAGAGCGTATTTAGGCCACGCCCACACCGGGGGGAAACAATCCAACCGTCTCCATTGACTTTGCATTGCGAGAGGCTGCCTCCTTACAACATAGGCTATAACAAAAGACCGAAAATGCCTAAAAGCTGCTGTGTGACAAGGTGTACAGCAAACAAGCTAAAAAAAAACAGAAATACATTTTTATAAGCTTCCGAACCGTAAAAGCCAGTCTTTAAGGAGACAAAAGTAGATAGGCTAGAGCAATATCCCAGCTAACAGGGAACGTTCCCAGAACATTCACTAACGTTCTTTAAAAGTTGTGTAAATGTTAGTACAAAACGTTATTAAAATAATGTTTTCGGAACGTTCATATAACGTTATTAACGTTCTTGTAACGTTGAGAGAAAACGTTCTTAGAACAATGTTCTTGGAACGTCTTTATAACGTTATTTGTGATTGATGAACGTTCTCATTACGTTGATAGAAAACGTTCTTAGAACAATGTTCTTGGAACGTCTTTATGACGTTATTTGTGATTGATGAAAGTTCTCATATCGTTGATAAAAAACGTTCTTAGAACAATGTTCTTGGAACGTCTTTATGACGTTTTTTGTGATTGATGAACGTTCTCATTACGTTGATAGAAAACGTTCTTAGAACAATGTTCTTGGAACGTCTTTATGATGTTTTTTGTGATTGATGAACGTTCTCATTACGTTGATAGAAAACGTTCTTAGAACAAAGTTCTTGGAACGTCTTTATGACGTTATTTGTGATTGATGAAAGTTCTCATATCGTTGATAAAAAACGTTCTTAGAACAATGTTCTTGGAACGTCTTTATGACGTTTTTTGTGATTGATGAACGTTCTCATTACGTTGATAGAAAACGTTCTTAGAACATTGTTCTTGGAACGTCTTTATGATGTTTTTTGTGATTGATGAACGTTCTCATTACGTTGATAGAAAACGTTCTTAGAACAATGTTCTTGGAACGTCTTTATGATGTTTTTTGTGATTGATGAACGTTCTCATTACGTTGATAGAAAACGTTCTTAGAACAATGTTCTTGGAACGTCTTTATAATGTTATTTATGATTGATGAAAGTTCTCATTACGTTGATAGAAAACGTTTTTAGAACAATGTTCTTGGAACGTCTTTATGACGTTATTTGTGATTGATGAAAGTTCTCATAACGTTGATAGAAAACGTTCTTAGAACAATGTTCTTGGAACGTCTTTATGACGTTATTTGTGATTGATGAAAGTTCTCATATCGTTGATAAAAAACGTTCTTAGAACAATGTTCTTGGAACGTCTTTATGACGTTTTTTGTGATTGATGAACGTTCTCATTACGTTGATAGAAAACGTTCTTAGAACAATGTTCTTGGAACGTCTTTATGATGTTTTTTGTGATTGATGAACGTTCTCATTACGTTGATAGAAAACGTTCTTAGAACAATGTTCTTGGAACGTCTTTATGACGTTATTTGTGATTGATGAAAGTTCTCATATCGTTGATAAAAAACGTTCTTAGAACAATGTTCTTGGAACTTCTTTATGACGTTTTTTGTGATTGATGAACGTTCTCATTACGTTGATAGAAAACGTTCTTAGAACATTGTTCTTGGAACGTCTTTATGATGTTTTTTGTGATTGATGAACGTTCTCATTACGTTGATAGAAAACGTTCTTAGAACAATGTTCTTGGAACGTCTTTATGATGTTTTTTGTGATTGATGAACGTTCTCATTACGTTGATAGAAAACGTTCTTAGAACAATGTTCTTGGAACGTCTTTATAATGTTATTTATGATTGATGAAAGTTCTCATTACGTTGATAGAAAACGTTTTTAGAACAATGTTCTTGGAACGTCTTTATGACGTTATTTGTGATTGATGAAAGTTCTCATAACGTTGATAGAAAACGTTTTTAGAACAATGTTCTTGGAACGTCTTTATGACATTATTTGTGATTGATGAACGTTCTCATTACGTTGATAGAAAACGTTCTTAGAACAATGTTCTTGGAACGTCTTTATGACGTTATTTGTGGTTGATGAAAGTTCTCATAACGTTGATAGAAAACGTTCTTAGAACAATGTTCTTGGAACGTCTCTATGACGTTATTTGTTGTTGATGAAAGTTCTCATAATGTTGATAGAAAACGTTCTTAGAACAATGTTGTTGGAACATCTTTATGACGTTTGTAAGGCTGACTAATTTGATCCAAGGGCGGCATTCAAATTAGCGGTGAAGGTCACATGCGCGTTCCGTCTCTTCCAATGGCAAAGGGATTTTTAATTAAATACAATACATTCTATCTTATGTATTAACTCGTTTCATCTGACTCCATAAAATGAAAGTGTTTTTCAATGATATCTGTGCATCTTTAAATAGGCCTATACGTTAATGTTTGACTATTCCTTTTAACTCCAATGAAAATAAAGTCAAAGTCTGTTAGAATAATCAAATATAACAATTTATTATGTCAGGTAAATGTATTATAACAATTCCATAATCAATTGAAAGATAATCAATGCAAATCATCAAATGTTTTAGGATTAGAGAAATAGATGCAAACCCAACATTTAAGAACTACATGAGCTAGTCCTCATGGGCTATACTGAAATACAGAAAAAGCCCCGATTCCTTGCTGCATTCCATTAAATAGCCAGAACTTCTTTTCAATGGTAATTTGCATTCAGGTTACACCTTATTTGGGGGGTAGGGGAGAAAGGCCACCTTTCTTTGTGCCAGTTTCTCTAAACTTCTAAAAAACCTTATTACCTTTTGTTTTACTTATTTGGAATGAGACATTTGTACCACTCATTCCTGAGACATTTCAAATGATACCAAACATAATACTCAATGATAATCATTCACATCAAACCATACATATATTCTTATGTGTGTTTTAGGTGATCTGTATGAAGGGGAAGGAGTGGGGGATGAGGGGAAGAAATGTAGATTAGGATGATTCAGAGGTGAGACCTTTGTCTCCGGGGAAGAGGGGGGAAGCCAAATGTTAATTTGCCAAGGTCCTTTGTCTCAATAGACCATGTGGTCAGATATTGTCTCTTCAACAAGTTTTACGGTCTTACAACGTTATTTGTGATTGATGAACGTTCTCATTACGTTGATAGAATACGTTCTTAGAACAATGTTCTTGGAACGTCTCTATGACGTTATTTGTGATTGATGAAAGTTCTCATAACGTTGATAGAAAACGTTCTTAGAACAATGTTCTTGGAACGTCTTTATGACGTTATTTGTGATTGAGGAAAGTTCTCATAAAGAAAACGTTCTTAGAACAATGTTCTTGGAACGTCTCTATGACGTTATTTGTGGTTGATGAAAGTTCTCATAATGTTGATAGAAAACGTTCTTAGAACAAGGTTCTTGGAACGTCTTTATTATGTTATTTGTGATTGATGAACATTTTCATAACGTTGATAGAAAACGTTATTAGAACAACATTCTCAGAACATACTTATAATGTTATTAGTATTTTCTGAATGTTATATTTAGGCTATCATAAAACGTTCTGGGAACATGTTATTTGCTGAACATTCTCATAATGTTAAGTACACTTGTTAACAAATGTGCGCTTCTTAACATTAGTTTACAATCACTAGATTTGTATAATATGACTAGGCCTATATCCATATAAACATTTTAAACATCACAATAGTTTATAACACCACCCCAATAAACCAGCACTTATATAGCCTATTAATAAATTAATATTAAAATGCCGGTGCAAAATCAGTTTTTGTGTGTGTTTTTAGTAATTGTTGTTTTGGTGTGTTTGAGTGCTGATTGTTACAATTACACAGCAGAAGTTCAGTGAGATTTTTAATTGTGT